CAAAAATATAGCATATTAAAGGCATTAGAGAATATCAACAAAAACTCCACAAAAAAATTGAGATTTAGGAAACATTATAATACTCTGTCATGTTATCATATAAGAATGCAACAAGTTATGCATATATACAACAACATAATATTATTAGCCAATAAAAAAAATAACCCATATTACTATATTAGTAAGGTCACATATTCACAAATGAGTAAAATTAAAATACTCGAATTAATCACAAGTGTTAAAACACTACGAACAGTACAACTACCAAATTTTTTCAATAATTCACAATCCTCAATAAACAATTATTTGTAAAATACATCTCCACAAAACATAGTATGCAGTATAACCACAAAATTGTTTAATAATAATAATAATAAACATAATTATCAAACCTGCCTTATCATTTAACTAGATGATAAGTTTACGGAGTTCTGTGTAATAATCGGAGTGCCAAAGTTTAGGGATCATTGTCTCAAAATCAGCCCATTCTCATCAGATCATATACTAAAATTTTATCTCAACGTTGAACAACTAATCATATACAATACACACTATATGATATACCAAATTAACAATAAGATGAACCCACTAAATAATTAGTGAGAAAAATCAACTCAACGCATCATACAAACACAAACCCATGTGCAAACAAACCAAAGTCTATTAAACCATATCCACCATATAAAACCAAAATCAAACCAAATTAGAAGTTACAATATCCTACAGGAATTTGAAAAACAGTAACTCATTTAAATTAATTAAAGAAATTATTTTCGTCATTAGTCTAACAACATACGTATCAAAAATTGCTCCAAACAAAAACATATCATAATAATATGCAACATTCACAACTCTTATAAGACACTTAATATGACATATCAAGCTAGAATCAAATATGGAAGCAATAATTCGTCTTTTAGATTGTTAGTAGATAAGCAAATTAAACGGAAACACTTATCTCAATGTTGTGTAGACCAATTGACAATAGTCGCGTCGTGAAGAACCACTGATCTAAAAGACGATTCCGTGCTACCTCCCGGTGCAATAGACTAGAAGCGGTCGCCCTCCAGGATAAACACGACGCCGGAGTTTATGTGCACTCACAAACCCGACTGGAACTCACAATACTTGCCCAGAAAATAGAACAGAAATAATTCGTGTTTAGATATATTTAGAGAAGAGAGAAGGCTAATTGTTGTTTTCTTTCGGAGGTGAATAAGGTTTATTTATAAGGCAATGGAGGGAGTAAAAACAACCAACAATTAAGGGGAAAATGGTCATTAATCAAATGGTGTAACATCCACCCATTAATCCCCAATAAGAGCTAGCTTTTATCAACATTAAAAGGGGTAACGACTAGTCTTTAAGTGACAACATTAATCAGCAATAATGCTCATTAAATTAGCAATAAGAGGAAGCTAAATTAAGGGATTCCAATAGCCATTAAATCCCAACAGTCAAAAGAATAAACATCGTAACTTCTTTGTTTTACTTCAAGAACTTCCAACAACGTGTAGGGGGGATTTGTTATACTACCTCCGTTAAATATTAATTATAACTTTGGATTTTTATTTGTGAGATATTGTAAAGTTACAACTAATATTTAACCGAGGTAGTTGGAGAGTAAATTATTTGCTCACTTTAGTCTAAAACGAGTAAGAAAATTGCTTTTAGTTTGGGTGAGAAAATAATGGCCTACAAAAATGCATAGAGGTAAATTTTGTACATGTGTAAAACGTTCTTTTTCTATTCAGATTTGAAGTCGACTTTTCCAACTAACTTTAAATACCCATATAAATTCACCGTCCTTCGTATATACTTCTCCGCATATATTAATGCTTAAGGATAAAACTATGACAAAAATAACCAAAGAAAGAAAGGGAATCCAATAATGTAACTATCCAACCACTTTTATCAGCAAAAAATAAAGTATCCAAATTATCTCACTTCCTCCAACGACTACTATACTTCAAGAGGTATCAATTCAAATGATCAGACTGGGTCTAATGAGATTGGGTCTAGGGGTGGATCTATTAAGGAGCCTGGGTAGCACCGACCCTGCTAAAAATTAATTTTTTTTTTATTTTTTTTATTTAGATAAGATGTAAATTGGGTTAAATACAATTTTAATGCAATATATATATAATATTTACTTAGCTTTTTCATAGTAATAAATAATAATGCATTGACTTGTGCTGTAAGTCTTGGTTTCAATTCCTCGTATAAGAATTTTATTTATTTTTTAAATTTAGTGCCCCTCCACACTAAATATTCTACATTCACTACTGGTTGGGTCGGGTCGAGTCAGGTCAATTTTTAAAGTTAAGTGAGGAAGTATTATTATATTCATGCGAGTTCAAATCTGAATTGGATATTTTTCGGATCAGATCAGGTCAGGTGTGGTTTTGACACCTCTAATTACAAGTACTCTTGTCATTTTGTTAGTCTGGTCCAACCATGCACTTTACCTTCTACTTCGTATTACAACTTTTATAAGGGTGTGTTATCTTCATCTTATTAAACCTAAAGTTATTAGACTTTATTAAATTTAAATTATCCCCATTTCATATCTTTTTGCAACTTTTGCCAAAAATGGATACTATACATTATTTGCAACTAATGTTTTCTTTTCTTTTTAAGTCGTCATTTTTCTCTATCTTTCCTCATCACATGCATGTTTATTTTTCTCTTTCTATCTTACACTCACAAACAAATTTTACCTAGGAGTCCTTACACCCTTCAAAGTTACAAAAGATGTGAAACAGAGGTAGTAGAATTTATATGACCATATTAAAACTTATTATTAATTATTATTTAAACAAATATTTTAGATCGTCATTATCTCTTAGAATATTATTATTATTATTACTATTATTATTATTATTATTATTTAAACAAATATTTTAGATCGTCATTACCTCTTAGAATGTTGTTGTTGTTGTTGTAGTATATATACTACCTCTGTTAATTTTTATGTGCACTTTGGGGTATTATTTGTGAGATATAAAATATTCCAAAGTTGCACATAAAAATTAACGTAGGTAGTATAGTACTTTACTATTATAAAATATTATTTAGTATAATTATATAAACTTGATTATAACTCATTGAAACTTATTAGACCATTTAACTTAATAATACTTATTAGACCTCATTTAACTTATTGAAACTTATTAGACCTTATTGAACTTTATCGTAACTTATGTAAGCTTATATGAATTTATTAGATTGGAAACTTTTCATAAGGCGAAGAGAACATACTCCAATTACTCTTTTTAATTGACACTTTTCTATTATTACGCTTGCCAATACACGTTTTTAACAATAAATATATCTAATTATATTATAAAAAGTAAATATTAATAAACTATTCATTGGGATGATTCAAACTGGATTTCACATGTCTAAGTTACTCAAAGCATAGTTTGGGAAGAGTGCAAAAATCGAAGTGAAATGCTAAATGCCGCCATAAAAATTATCAAACCGCCATCATTTCAAGCAAAGAAATATTCTTGCCCTTACTAAAAAAAATTCCCATTTTATTTCTCTAACATTAATCCATCCACCACAACCAAGTTAACCACCACCAATCACAACGTACACCGACACATTTCACGCCACCTCATCGACCACCGCAACCCATGCATAACATCGTATCAGATCAACCACCAACATCTACATTGAACTGCCAATACGACCGTGAACGTTGACAAGAAATGGAGGTGGCTCGTTGGAAAATGAACCAATTAACACTATCATCAACTGTTTTCCAGGGGATTAAAGTAGTTTGATTAGTTGGAGAAACCGCTATTTGACCAAGGTAACCGAAGGCCAAAACCGGTTACCATCCACAATAATCGCCACTTGAACCGCCACCTCTTCCCGACTAGTTGCTATATATGTGGTTGTGGTTGTGGTTTTGATGAGAGAAACAAAAAAGGGGAGAAAAAAGGGTTAGGGTTTAGTAAGGAAATATTGACCTTTGCTTAAAATGATGGCGGTTTTGATAAATATAGATGGCGGTGTTTTTGTGTTTTTAGAGAGAGAATGAGGGGGATTTGAGATTTTGAGGAGAGAGAATTGAACTAAAATGAAATATGGATGGCGGTGTTTTTGTGTTTATCAAAACTCATTTCACTTCAGTTCACCTTCAAACTCATTTCAGTTCAGTTCACCTTCAAACTGCCATATTTATCAAAACCGCCATCATTTTAATTCAGTTCCCTATATCATCCAATTTGATTCTTTTTCCAAATTGAAATTTCAAAGTATCTTCCTTTTTTTTTTAAACAAATTGAAGTTTCAAAGTACTTCCTCGTATTTATTTCACACAACTTGATTTTTTGTTTAGTTGGCACCATATGATTTGGTGTGTTAAACACCGCCATCCATATTTATCAAAACCGCCATCATTTTAAGCAAAGGGTCAATATTCATTTCAGTTCACCTCTCTAAAAACACAAAAACACCGCCATCCATATTTCATTTCAGTTGAATTTTGAAGGTGAACTGATTAAAGCTTAACTGAACTGATTAGAGCTGAAGTGAACATGGCCATAATCTAATACTTCGTATATAAAATAAATACAAGTATTTTTATTACTTTCTCCGTTTTTAAATATTTGTTTTAATTTTTATTTTCGGTCATTTTTAAATACCTTCTTCATTTCTTTATTTAAAAATTTATTAATTTCATATTCTCTCAACTACTCTCTATATTTTAATACTTTCTCAAATTTCTTTTAAAATTTCGCAAATAAAAAAGTGGAGCAAATATTAAAAAACGTAGAGTATACAATCCTGTTCTCATACGTTTATTTTCAGTTCAGCTCCTAATTTCCTTCTCTTATAAAATATTTATTTCAATTTCGCTCAATTTAATCTACGAGAACACGCCCTACCTCTATTCATATGGTCCACAAATATACACTCCACGAGTCAACTCTTAGTCTCCATACTCTACCCTACAGACGGAGTATATAGATGCAAGTTGCAACACCCCCTCTCAAATTACAGTAACTCCCCAATTCATTTCTACTTTCTCTCTCCTCAAAATCTCAAATCCCCCTCATTCTCTCTCTAAAAACACAAAAATGGTGGAAACTGAAGTAGCTGCACTCATCGCACCATGGCTAACCCCAACCTCTCTCTTCGTCCTCCTCAACATCGTCCTCGCCACCATCTTCTTAGCCAACAACAAGCACCACTCCCAAACCAAACACGACTCCGATTCCGACTCCGACAACCGCAACAACATGAATAATAAACCTAGTGAACATCATTACCATCATAATCAGTACGATTATTACCAGAATAATCAGCGTTACGACTACGAAGGTGCGTCGCTTGTTCCGCCGCCGCCGCAGCTAGTCCGCGCGCCGTCGCTATTCTCCCGTGTTGCGTCGTTCAATTTCTCCAATTTTTACTCCGAAGCGCAACCTCCGTTGTCCGATGCGGCGGATCAGACGGCGACGATGACTCGCGCGCCGTCGCTGCTCTACCGTGTGACGTCATTCAACTTTTCTCGCTCTCCTGCACCGCAGAAGGCGGTGGAGGAGGAGGCACGTGACCAGAGTCAGGGTCACGTGATGAGAGAGAATCAAAAGGAGGTGGTGGAAAAGGACAAGGCTAAAGAGACAAAGGTGAAGAAAAAGAAGGTGAAAAAAGAAGTTAATTCTGATGTGAAAAAAGAAGTTACCGCGGTTAAAAATGAAAGTACTGCGGTAAAAAAAGAGGTGGCGAAGGAAACGACGTCGTCGAAGCGGGTTGAAGAAGAAGAAGTAGATTCAAAAGCGGATGATTTTATTCACAAGTTTAAACAACAGCTAAAGTTACAGCGGTTAGAATCACTGTTACGTTACCGGAATAATCCTACTCCAACAGCTGCTTGAACATTATTTTTACTATTAGGGTGTTTTTTTTTTTACTGTATTATTATTATTGTTGTTGTACTATTATTAGGGTTTAGGGTATTTTACTTTGGTGTTGTATTTTTTTTACTAGTTACTGTATTAATTAGGGTTTTTTTTTACCTTTTAAAATATTGTCTATTGGGCACATGACACATTACATGGGTTATTGTGTAGGTGTGGCTTTATATATGGTCCAATTCAGGTTATGTTCAGATTTCAGAGTAAAAGTAATTTATTTATGGCCACTCGTAATGTGAATAAAGACAATAATCACAAATTCACAATATAATAAGTCAAGTACTAGTCTGTAATTTTGTATGGCATGGTAACAAGTTGATTTTCTAAACTAGTCAATCTAATCTACTTATCCAATAATTAAGCATGCTAATCGAGAATATAATCTAATCTAATGTAAATTTAAGGAAAATTTGCAAATTACCACCCAAAAATAGTATCAATTTCTAAATAACCACCCAATTAAAATTTTATTTTAAATTACCACCCACTAAAATAATTTTTTATGCAGATTACCACCTTTTTCAATTTTCCGTTTGATTTCAAGTGAGTGGGGCCCACCTAACGGCTAGTAACGGCTAATCCCCTTCCTAATTGAATTTCTCCCTGATTTTCCCCTATTAAACATTACTCCTACCCTAATTTGCGATTTGTACATCAAAATTTCCCCAAATTCCTCAAATTTCAGGCCCTTGTATTTGCTGTAACATCTTGAAGAATCGTTAGAGGTGAATTCGCATCAGGTAACCTATTACATTTTTTAAATTTACAAGATACTAATTGTGCTGAAATTGGGGAAAACTTGTTGATTAGGGTTTACTTTCTTCGCTAATTAGGATTATTTTCCAATCGAATTGAGGGAAACTAAGTGTTTAGTTAATTAGGGTTCATGTTGTTTGCCCAATTTAGGTGTTTTGTCATTGAATTTCTGTTAGTACTGGGTAAGTTGTGTTTGCAATGTTTACACTTAATTAAGTACTCTTAGAATTGGTTGAAGCATGTTTTAAGCTGTTATGTTTATTTGTTGTTGGAATTATTGTGGTAGAAATGGAAGAGAATAAGGTGGTTCTCAGGTTTAAGTATTTGACTATAGTTATTGACCTTGAATATGAGATTGGCAAAAGTAACTTACAAGATACTGCAATAGCATTTGAAGATCAACTTCGTGATATGGATGATCCTATAGAAGGATCAATTGACATTTTGTACCCCATATTCCAGTACTTATATAAAGGAAAGTATTGGACTTTAGAAGATGATGGAGATTTGTTCAAGATGATTAGGAGATTACCTAATCAGGAGTTTTACACCATACATGTTGGAAGCACAGATGAGCCTGGTTTCTTGGCTGACTGTATACTTGAGTACATGATGAAGCAAAATGGGACTTGGCCACCCCTGGTTATCCTGATTATGGTGGCCAACCACCACAGTGAATAGGTGTGAGTAAGCATGGTTGTATACTTGGTTGGTTGTTGTTATTGTTGATTTAACTGACTTGTTTTATGCTCATTTTAGGTCTGATAATGTCTTGGAATAACACATCTCCCACAAACCAGAAGAAATGCAACTGTGGCTTGCCTTTTGCAAAGTTGATATCATGGACTACTTCTAACCCAGGCAGGAAATTCAAGGCTTGCAAGTTCTATGACCCTAACACTGAAACTAGGGGGTGTAAGTGTTTTGAATGGGTTGATAGTGAAGGGACTGAGTGGCAGAGAGAGGTGATTAACCAGTTGGTGCTTGACAAAAAGGTGATGAAGGGTGAAGTGAACACACTCAAAGTTCAGGTTGATGATCTCACTGCCCAAAGAAGATGCTTGCTCAATGAGGTGGATACTCTGACATTGAAATGCAAGGCCCTAAATGGTGACAGGAAGAAGATGCTCCACAGCAATGGTGGTTCTGACAACAAGCTTTTGGTTATTGTAGTTCTTATGTGTTTAGTGTTATTAGTTTTAGGTAGTGTTGTACTTAATAAGTTGGTTTGAGTGGGAGGTGTGCTGATTAAAATGATGATTTGTGGTGTTATTTGTATGTAGTATGAATGAAACAAGTTATTTTGGTATCAATAAAACAAGTTATTTTGGTATCAATTTTGGCATGAGTTGTTTGTATTTTGGCATCAATGACACAATCACATAATCATTGAAATAAAACAACAAAAAGTATTAACAAAATTCAAAATAATTATCTTGCCAATGCAATCAACAACTAGTCATTCACCAATTCAAAACAGAATCCAAAAGATTGAAACAAAGGCAGTCATCATTGTTCAACTACTTAAAAAAAGACTTAACATTGTTCAAATACTAAGATTGTTTAAAAAAAAAAAAAACTTTTCATTGTTCAACTAAGATTGTTTCAAAGTACTCTATTCCCTAGTCATTCTAATAGTGTGCAACTTGCTTCTTGGTGCTTCTGAATCTTGTGCATAGGCTGTGGCAGCTGTTGTAGTTGAAGCCTGGCTCTGTTGAGTCTGTTGTTGAGTCTGGTGCTCATTTTGATGCTGACTCTGTTGTTGACCACTCTGCTGCTGCTTCTTTCTATGCTCTTCCTGGGGGAACTTCTTCCTGGCTATACTATGTGGTCCAGGTGTACCACTAACAGCACTCTGAAAAAAAAAAAAAAAAAAACTTTTAGTGCTAAAAAACTTAAAACCTACACTACAATTAGCATAAATTAACTTTAAATCACCTTTCTTGATGCCCTTTCTGCTTTCATCTTCCTTTGGTCATTCACCCACTCAGTATTCAAATGTGGTCTACCACCTTCTTTCTTAGGGGATGATACAACCACTGGTGTCACTGATGGGTTGTTGCAGGTCTTAGCATAGTGTCCAAGCTAGCCACAATTCTTACATGTTGCCCTTCTCTTGACTGGTTTCTCTTCTTGCTGGCTCTGCCCCACAATTTCTCCCTATTCTAGCTTTCTTTTCTTACTCTTAGGCCTCCCAGGCTGTACTTTGATGGCTGGTGGTAGTGGCTCCCTTAGCTTCACCTTCTCCCAATGGTTTGGACCAGGCATAGGTGCAACCTCATACCTGTATGCTAACATGTATGTGGACACAAAGTAAGCACTGTCCACATACTCTTCAGGGTCTGCCCTTTTGTCCATGATGCATGCATATGCATGGACACAAGGGATACCAGTTAGCTCCCAATGATAGCAAGTGCAAGTACCTTTGCTTAGGTCCACTTTAACTATGTCAGAATTAAGCTCTACTTCATAAGTGTCACCTCTAGATACTTGCACAATGCAATGCCTAGCTGCTGGTTCTATCCTTTGGAATGCCTTTCTTACATATGGAACTACTTTTCCCTCCATTTTTCATAACTTTCCCATTTATCATTGTTTCTTTTCATCATATACCTCCTAAGCCACTCCATCTGAGTCAATATGGGCTTATCCCTAGCTTCTTTGATCACAGCATTGAAAGTCTCACAAACATTGTTAAGCAACATGTTTGACTTTGGGAATGAACTAAAAGCATGTCTAGACCAATGCTCAGCTGGGATGTCAGCTAGGTATTCAAATGCATCCTCAGACAAGAACCTTATTGACTCCATTTCCACTTCAAAATCAAACTACAAAAAGGACAAGAACACATTTACAACCACACTTACACACACACCTACATAAACAGATTCAGCTAAACAAACAGCCACACACAGTCACAGAGATTCAGTCACAGTCACAAAGATTCACTCACACTCACAAGACAGTGACAGTTACTCATTCAGTCATTGACTCACACTCACAAACAGTCACTGGTTCACTCACACACTCACAGTCACAGATAGCCAATTTGAGGTGAATGTATACCTGTGTTGTAGCCCTGGCTGCTGCCCAAAATAGCTCTTTGAATGTTGCTCCACTAAACTGCAACTTGAAGTTGGCCCAAATGTGTCTGACACAATACCTTGTGTCTGCATTAGGGACTACCTGCTGGAAAGCTTCTAACAACCCCTGTTTTAAAATCAAAAGTAATGCATTACATAAAAAAGAATGTATGTTAGGTTGAAAAATAATATATTAGTAGTAAGTAATTCATCACCTTTTGTCTGTCTAACATAAAGGTGAACCCAAGCCCTTCATTTTCATCTTTTAAGGACTTCATTAGGCTCTCTAGGAACCACACCCATGTCTCTATGTTCTCTATTTCACAGGTAGCCCATGCAATGGGATAAATATTGTTGTTGTCATCCTTCCCTACTGCAACAAGTATCTGCCCTGGGTATGGACCCTTGAGATGACATCCATCAACCCCTATTAAGGGTCTACAACCAGACAAAAATCCCTTTGCCAAAGGAGCTAGGCAAACAAACATCTTAAGGAATAATGGGGGCTCAGGTTTCTCAATCCCATCAATAACAACATTACATTGTGTCCCAGGGTTATACTTCATGAGAGCCTTTCCATAGTCCCAAACTCTGGCATACTGTTGTGCTGCTGAACCATAGATCATTAGCTTTGCTCTTGCCCTTGACATCCAAGCTTTGCTATAAGTAATTTCTATGCCAAGATCAGTTAACACCCTCCTAATGAATCCCTTTAGCTTCCACCCTGGATCACTTCTCCAATCCTCAATGTACTTCTCAGCTAGAAATTCAGCAGTAAGATTGAGATTGCTTTTTACCCTTACACACCTATGCTTAAGATTCACATTCTTAATCTGCCAAAAATCTTGGTTGACAGATCTCCTAGCAACCACCTTAAAATGGCATCTCCTCCCTCCAACACAAGTACACTTAGGCAGCCTACACTTTTTTACATTCCATTTACACTGACATCTCCTCATGAAGTGGATGGTTAACTTGCTGCTGTCATTGTGCAAGTACCAATATTCATATCTATTCTCAACTGCATGAACCCTCAATGCTCTCCTAAGCAGTTTACTGTTGATAAACTTCTGTCCTTTCACCAAGACTATTGGTTTCTTGAAGTCTGTTGAGGCATGAAACCATGGGTACTTGTCTTCTTCATCATCAGAACACTTAGGGCTATCCAACTCCTCTAAATCAGAACTAAACTCTCTCTGCAAAAAAACTTCTTTGCTCAACAATTCACTTTCAATGATCAACTCCTTGTTCTGCAACTCATCCTCTCTCTTATCTTTCACAAACTCCAAACTTAGGTTGACCTCTTGAATTATGTTCTGAATAGTGTTGTTCACATTTTCTTCAAGTTCAGCATCCTCATCTAACCCCTTATCTTCCCCTATATCCCAATCAGGGTCAGTGTCATAACAATCAGAGCTGGAAAAGCCAGATCCAACTTCT